GTTTTGTAAAGCACATCTAGGTTACAAAGCTCAGTGTTTGTAAAATATTTGATAACTTGAGCAAGTAATTTGCAGTTCAATGCTAGGTAAGAATGGCCTTCATTTGGTGGTGAGCACATACACAATTTCATAGTTGAGTGTGTCAATTCTGCAGCTTATCATTCCCATTTTTTTTCTACTCCTCTTTCGCTTTTGTTTTCTTTTTGTAACTTAAATAACAGGATGGCAGAAGTAAGCTTTAAATGTGAAATAATCTAAGCTTCAGGGCAGTTTCCTGTAAACTCCCGATTTATGCCCTAGGCTTGTATAAGTTGGAGAACTTTGTTGAAATGAGAGGTTTGCACCGATTTACATCATCTCTGCACCCGGCTCCCTTTGTATAAGCACGTTGCAGAAGACATGGTAGTGATGCTATGGGAGATGGAAGCAGTGTGGGGCAGTGTGGGCTCCCTGCCCACCTGTGACAGCTTCCAGCTCACACTGCTGCTCTGGGAGGGCAGGGCTGTAATTTCTGCTCTTGTCAAACACCATGATGGGGGGGATGAAGTACCAGGAAATGATAAATGACCTGCAGCTTCAGCATTGAAGGGAAATACGGTCTCCATCCTGTTTTCGCTCCTGCACCTGGGATTTTAAAATGAGTTAAGCAGCCAAATGTAAGACTGCTGGGTGCACTTTATCAACTTTAAAACCTGCTGGCTTCACAAGCCCTATTCTTCTGGTGTTACGGAAGCATCGTTGAAGCCCTGATTCAAAGGGGGTAATTAAACATATAGCAAAATGCAGTAGCTTGCTGACCATGGTTGTGCTGCATGAATCAAACTGACTACTGGCTAGAGAGCTTGGTGGCAAGGCTTGGAACTACTCTGCCTACTACTAGTTATAGATGAGTAACTGAATTTTATAAACTCCCGAGTTTACCGACTGAATCGGTAAACTTTTGACTGCTGACTTAGGAACTTGATGGTCTGTTAGTGGTGGTGTGATCGGAAAGAAGCACATAGTTATGTCTTCTCCCTGCTGGTGCTTTGGCTTTTGCTCTTCTTTGTTTCTGCTGTTTGGTATAGCCAGGCATGGTTAAACCCTAGCGACAGAATAGGTGCTAGTGCTGGGATACAATTATTAGAGGTTAATCTCTCATGCTCTCTCTCAAAACCAAAAGGAAAAAGAAAATAAAACACCCAATAATAAAAATAAAGGTCTGAGATGTAAAGGGTAAATCCCTTTACATGGGTAAATGTAAATGTAAAAAGAAAATGGTACATGGCTCTTAAGGCTTCCCAGAGGACTGAATAAAAATAAGCTGAGAGATTGCCCCATAGCTGCTTTTGGTTCTGTGCTTTTCTAGTGCTCTGTGGTTTTACTTTTAAGAGTATTTGTTTATGATTATTGCTTAGCAGTGAATTTGTTTTTGCTAACTTTTAATTAGTTCTTTAGAAACTACTTTTTTTAATAACCACAGTGTTGCTCTGCTTTCATTGACCTGTTGCTGTCCCAATGGGATACAAAATTCCTGTGATACCAAATATCAGTCCTTAAAACACAGTTTGTCTAATGTGTGCTAAGATGCTGTTTGCTAGGTTTGTTTGTTTGCTTTTTTTTGTAATTGCTCCTTACAGATGTTAGTGTGCTGTAGCCCACGGAAATTTAATCTGTTTAATCTGGAGAAATAAATACAAAAACCCCACCCAAGTGCCCACAGAAGGCTCTCCTTTATTGTTGAACATGGATCTTTTCAACAGGCTCCCAAAACAGGAAGCATTTGAATAGCACCAATAATATTGGACTGGCATTTTTTTTGCATGTTCTAGTGAATATTCCTGAAATCCTGTCTGGGTTATGTATCCTACTATTATTTTTTTTCAATAAAATGAAAATTATACCTAAGGTTTGTTAGCCAACAAGGTTAGATTTGAAGAATAAAAACAAGCTAAAAACATCAGCTGTCACTGAACACTTCATGGCAAAACAAGCAAACAGAAACAAAACAAAACAAAAACAAAACAAAAAACAGACTTATTAAATTTGTAATGAAGTTATCCCTGCTGCCTTTTCCCCACTTCTGTACTGGTGCATCTCGGTTATCACTCTATTCTCCTAAGGAGTGTTTAAACCAGTTAAGAATGCATAGTTAGTATCAGGTTAATTAAAATCATTTCCTCATAGAATGCATTATGTAACTGTTGCACTGTGTAGCTGTGACCCCCTGCCAAAAAAAAAGCAACAAAAACAAACAAAAAAACCCCTACCCACTTAAGCTCTAACCTGATTTTTCTTTGATAAGCCACCTGGCCTCAGCTTTTCATCATGTTCTTTTTTTCTTCCCTTGTTTTCCCCAGTGCATCCCAAGATGCAAACTGTAATATTTAATAGCTATTACTGGATCCTATTAAAATAATTAGTTTCTCCATTGTACGGAGGCTTGTTATTCTCTGTTGAGCACTGTTGCCATGAACTACCTGCCTGTAGTTTTGATAGATACAGGAGTGGATTGTCCTTCTGCTATTGGTAAATAGATATAAAACCTTTGCTTCTCTTTGGGTTTCTCTAGCCCTGAAGTTTTCATCTAGTGGTGCTTCACCTTTGTATGAGTACATCTATATCCATCTATGCTAGATAAATATCCTGGATGATGATTACTTTGCTAGTTTACAAGCTGTGCTTTGTCAAATTGTTACTTCAGCTTCTTCATCTGAGAATTTCAAGCTTCTGAGAAAAATTTCCCTTTTCTTGTTGCCTCTTCTTCTTCTTCTTCTTCCCCCAATCCCTTTCCCTTGGTGCTGTTGCTTCGTTAGCTGCAGTACCAGTAATAAAGGCCCTCTCAGCTGGCTGCTTTTCCTTACTGCTTAACCAGGTTTGTGAGCATGTCATTTCCATTGCATGTCCCAGGATTCAGGAGCTTATTGCTGTTCTAACCGTTTCCCTGTTCTCACTCCTCCGATAAACTCTCACTCTAGTCTTCTTGTTACAGTAGAGCTTGCTGGTGCTGCTGCAGCTAAGCTTGTGTCATTCTTTCCATAATAAGCATGGATTTCTTCCAGGATTTAGAACTTGCCCAGAAAAATTCTGTTTTCAGCTGAATCTCAGAATAGGATATCTCAGCCAGCATAATATTTGTACTTAATTTGGTTTGAACTGGCTTTGTTGCTCTTTTAAAATAGAAGAGGGTAAAAAAGGAAAATTGGACAGTGTGAATTTTCTTGGACATCCCACAAAGACAAGCATTTAAAACATGACATATTATGGCTTCTTAGTTTCTCATGTCAGCTGCTGGGTTGTGCCTTGAGTTATTTGACCAAAAAAAGTCAAAAAAGCCTCAATAGTATAGTGGGAGAAAAAGGATCATGAGGTCTGCTCTGTAGACCTTTGGATGGCCTGTGCAGTACTGAGGGCTGCAGGTTACACCTGTCAGCAGACTGAAGACCTGGGGGGTAGGTGTTTGTGGCCAACACATCAACTAGTTTAGAGTCAGGTATGAAGTTAAAACGTGCCAGTTTTGTCCTGTAATGTCTGTGCAGTCCCGGGTATCCTTCATGGGAACCCACGGTAGCTAGGAAATAGGGGCACAGCTGGCAGGGACGGGGCAGATGCTGCAGCCCCTTTAATATCATCCACAAGGTCTTTGTCGACCGAAGATACTTGTTTGAGGCCCTCTGGCTCACTGACTTTGTCCAGGTTCATTGAGCTTTGGGGCAGGGTGCAAACCTATTTTAATGAGACTCTTGAGGAGAGGGCTTTTCTCGAGAGTAATTTCCGGTGCTTTGGGAATATTTGTTCGTCTTTTTTCGCTTTAGCCAGCTTTTAAAGTATAATGGAATGTAGCTAATTTTGTCTTTTTGTTTTGTTTTGCTTTTAAATAACTGCCACAGAATTTCTTATTTTGGTGTCAACCCCTCTATAGTCTGCAATTATGCATATAAGTATACAAATAAGTGCAGGATTGTCATAGCTGGTCAACTTTTAACAGCCAGTTATTTTTTAACATCCCCAGTCATATTCTGGACTGTTCTGGATTGTTAGATTAGTCTTGGAATAGATCCAGAAGATAACACTGCACCAAGATGGTTCCTGTGTTGACTTTGGTGTGTTTCTTAAGAATTTGTGCCTGATCTAAGATCCACTTAATGAAGACATTGCAGTGTATTTAGTGGTCTCATAGCCCTGTAAGTCAGGGAAGATGTAGGAGAGAGGAATAGTCTGAAAATTCAAGTGCAGAAATTACAGGATTCTTTCCAGGAGCAGGGACTGTGGATGTCTGTCCCCTGCTCCTTTTGTCCTTCCTCATTTCTGCAGAAATGATTCCAGGTGGCCTTGGAGTAGTTGAGGTTAGTGCAGGTGAAAAAGAGCAGAGAACTAATTTGCCTGAAAAATGGTCTGGCCAAAAAGAAATATTTGGTCGGATCAGTTTCTCAGTCTGATATGCCAGCAGCTTGTGCGGATCCTTCCTCTGTGCCTGCCCTTCTCTGCCTTCACTTGTTTGTCAATAGCTGCCTCATCGCAGAGCCGGCACTGCCGCAAATTACACACTGGCTTGTTAAGGAAAACCAAAATGAGTGGCAATTTACTTCCATACTTTGGCCAGTGAACTGTGGCAGCCCAGCTGCTGCTACTGCTGCTTAAGGAAGCAGGTTCTTGATGGCTGTGCTTGGGGACAGCTGTGTTGTAGTTGTGCCCCTGGCGTGATGAAGCTGCAACCTGGTTGATGTTTACCAGGTGGCTGCTGAGTGTCCTCTGCTGCTGAGACAGTTTCTCCCCTCAGCTTTGCATGGAGACTTCAGTTTGCTGCCCCTTGGTTTTCTGGTCCTTTCCCGCTGACAACTGCTGCTAGTGTCTTTGTTAAGGCTGCTTAAATCACCTCCCTGTGGGTAGGCGCTATCGGTTCCTAAAGCCAGCAATGTTTACTGTGATTTAATTTGTGTGCGTCTCTGCTTTTTTTTTTTTTTTTTTTTTTTTTTTTTTTTTTTT